GTCGAGGCTGGTCTTGAATAGGAGGCTGCCTGTCGGCTGGAAGATGAAAGGTGGTTATTTGGGTGTTGGGTTGGCCAAGAAGTCTGCTACTTTTTTTTTCCCCCCTGTAAAATAAGATGCATTTTTCATTTTCACCAAATAGTTTTATTGATTTAGATATTTTGAGTATGTCAGCTGGCTCCTAGTATTGGCTTCTAGTGGGCAGAGGCCAGGGCTGCTGCTAAACATCTTCCAATGTGTAAGACAGCCCCACAGCAGAGAATTATTTGGCTAAAATGGCAATAGTACCAAGAAACATCATAAACCACTTTTAATGCATTCAGTCAGTCACAGCACCTTCTCCATACACTGCACACATCTTTTTTCTTACGTTTCCGTTGTTTTTACCTTTCTTGAAATAATAAAGTATAATATTACAAAAAATGTATATTTTCTTCCATCTTTAATATTAAAATGGCTGCACAAAAATTCACTGATTTTGGTAAGTTTTTAAAAAAATGCATGCCGATATGAAAGCTGTCACAATACAAACTAACAAAATTGTTTCGAATGAAGTTAAAGACAACTAAGCCCTACAAGAGCCATCGTACAGAAAAAAACGCAATTGACTTTCGGCCAACCCAATATTTTCTATTTCATTCAGTGTTCTCTGTGACCTGCTTTGTTAGCCAAACTCGACATCTGATTGCTTAACTAGGCCCCCATCAAAGCCTGCTGGCGCTGCAGGTGGTTTTGCATGTTTCCATTCTTCTGTGGCGTGGGGTTGCAGCCTGTGATTGTTTGCAGGTATGGGCACTCATGAGCAAAAGCGCAGGTGTATGCATGACACATAGTGAAACAGATTTCAGACAATAAATTAGTTTGTTGAACTGAAGTAAAATTTTCCATGTTATTGCTTTTGTAATTGAGCCTATTTTAGCATTAGCATACAAATTAGCCCATAGACCTAGGCAAATTAAAATGCTAATAAAATGTAAGGATACACTAGAACATTAATACTGAATTTGGTTAGGCTATTAATGTTAGACTACATTACATATATTACTTCCACCATACAGGTTAATCTGAACACTTCCTAAACCAGTGAAAGACCTTGTGGATCAGAATTTTTAAAATTCAAGAGGACTTTATAATAATCTATGGGAATGAAAACAGGAGGAATTTTCAGTATGTGAGGCAAATATTCATCTGTCCATTCCACTTCTCCATCACACTCTGCCACCTTAATTCTTGATCATGACTTCATCTGAATAATGATTGACGATTTGATGTACTGTTACTGGAAATTCAGGTTTCCGTGAAAGAAATGCATGATAATGTAACACGTCAATGAAATCTAGCATTTCTCCCTGTACTTGCCTTGCACTTTTTTCTTTACATCCCCAGCCGAGGATATGTTTGTTGATTTTATAGAGAGATGAAGGGTGGGGGGGAGAGAGAGAAACATTGATGTGAAAGAGAAACATAGATTGGTTGCCTCCTGTATACCCTTCGAGTGGGAATCGAACCTGCAACCTTTTAGTGCCATGAGGATGCTCCAACCAACTGAGCCACACAGCTGGGGCCACTTGCCTTGCTGTGACAGAGCCACGCACTCCTCTAGGAGCATGGCCCAGGGAGACTCCCATGCGAGTGACGGCCCTGGAGCCTGTCTAGTGCACAAAGGCATCACCATCCGAGGCCACTCTGATTGCACGAAGGAGCAACTAGGCATGGGTCATTTCAGAAAAATTGGGAATCAATGCTCGCCTTTCCAAAGTTTTCTTACTTAAAGCATTTATTGCACTCTCATCAGGAGCACTTGGCACAATATTATGAAACAAACCAAACTTTCCACTTCGTCCCACCCCCAAAATAGAAGTCAGCCAATGCAGTGTATTTGTGGAAAACACTGTGGATGATTGCTTACCTGAAAGCCAGCCTCCCCTCTTTATATTTGCTAAAAGCTCCCCCCCACCCCAAAGTTTTATTCACGTATTGTACATAGCTATGTGGTTTATGAGATGCTGGATCCTCTTCTGCTCAGAGGGTGAAACTGGGTACGGGTCGTCATTACCCCTTGCATCTGTGGTTTAGGAAAGAATATCTGGGCAATACTGGCCCATGAGCTGGAGGGGAAGTCTTGTCAGGGACCTTGTGGAAAGGTTTGCTTGATTTATAAGAAGGAAACGAGGGAAGGAGGCTCTCTCTTTCCTCCTTTCAGTTTTCAGACATCACTGTGATACTTCAGTTATCGCAGCCCTGTGGCCATCTTGGGACCTAACTCACGCCTCTGCAGGTTGAAACACGCCTGTTTATCTCTACAGATTAGATGGCTAGAGGGAGCCCAAAGAAGCCTCAGGGGTCATCAACTGGAACTTTCTCATTTATTTTTGTTCAACCAGGTTCCATGTTGTTTGGCTTATTACTATTTTTTTAAAGATTTTATTTATTTACTTTTAGAGAGGGAAGGGAGGGAGATAGAGAGACATCAATGTGCGGTTGCTGGGGGTCATGGCCTGCAACCCAGGCATGTACCCTGACTGGGAATCGAACCTGCAACACTTTGGTTCGCAGCCCTCGCTCAATCCACTGAGCTACGCCAGCCAGGGCGGCTTATTACATTCTCCAATGGAAATTATAGCTGGTGAGCCAGCCGTGAGGTTTGGGAAGCAGTGATCAGCACGGGTCTGATCTGCTTCTTTGGTTTGGTGCCATTTCAGAGATAGACGCTTGTAATGTGATTCCTTTAATTATGTGGTTATTTCTGGAATAATATCCTACCAGAAATAATTCACTGGAGTGGACAGCTTATTTCTATTGTATTAAACAACAACAACAACAACTGAACCCTTATAAGATGGATGAATTTAATACTTCCAGAATTGTAAAGGTGATTAGCAATGCTTATCTTTTATATCTGAATATCATGTTAATGATGTAATAATAAATGGCTTCATACTTTAAGCTACTGTTAGGTATTCTATTCCTTGTGGCCAAAGATATCCTAATGGATACAATCTGGTCAGGAAAAGATGCTTTCTCAGAGCTGCTGCAAAAATGGATGATGTGGAAGTTATCAAGATTTCATCCAGGAATCTGTTAGTGTAGGTTATCGTTCAGAAATACTCCAGCTTTGTCTCAGATCTGGGTAAATTGGAGCAATCCACATAACTGTGCTATTTCACCCTTTTTTCTCTCTCTCTCCAGATGCAGTGTCCTCCTGTGCGAGTGTCTGACAGATGTGAACAGCATCAAAGGGCTCTCTTGCCCTCTGGCTCCCCTTGGATTTAGCCACTAGGATGCACCAGCAAGAGACTGGAAGAGGGAGGTAGGTGAGATAAAAAATCTCCCAGCTTCCTCCTTGAGCGATTCTATCACATGAAAAAAGGTCCCAGGTGTCTGTCAGTCTGCCCTTTCTGCGTTGAGTCTTCATAACTGTTGCTTTCACCTTGTTTCCACAGATCTAGGAGCCTGTAGCCCCAGGGTTCCACATTCCCTTGTGGTTTCCCATATGCTACCCACATCTTTGTGAAGTACCATTTGTTTCCTGCTAGGCCCTGACTGATACAATGGTGTGAACAAAATCACTGCAGCTGTTGGAGCTTGGCCCAAACTGTCTGAGATGAGGGGAGATTCTGTGGAGTTATTCACAGTGTAACTAAAAGCTTTGCCCAACCATTAAAGGGAGACAGGAGACTACATAAATGTCATGTGCAAAAGTGGAACAAAGTATCATAGCTGAGAGACACACTTTCCACCTGAGGACAAGGAATCAGAGAAGGCTACCTGGAAGAGATGGCGTTTGGGCTGAGGATAGATAAGAATTTAAAAACAGAGTGTGAGTCAAGCCAGGGAGGAGAGAGAACTCAAGGAGAGTTTCTGAAAAATTAGTGCTGAAAGGGACCTAAGACGGCCTTTATTCAATGTTCTCCCTCCACTTCCTTTACACATGTGTAACCTTGAGACTGAGATGTGGCCAAGGTCAAACAGCAAGGAAGTAGCATGCTGGGACTCTAATCCAGGTCTACTAGCTACCAGGCTAGTTCCTACTCCACCTTCTATCTGGACTCCACTCTGCTTCACCCCACCCTGCTGGACTGTGAGACCCTGAGAGCCGAGTTTGTGTTCTTCCTCCTTGAACCCCCGTACCTAGCATGATTTCTGGCATAAGGTAATCATTATCAGCAGCACCTACCAAATAGTAAGAAGCATCCACGCCCCTGCCAGGCACTATGCTGACATTTTATATGCACTGCATGTCATTTCCCCCAACAATTTAGAAGCGTAGAATTATCTTCACTTTTCAGCCAAAAACGCTGCGGCTCAGAGAGGTGGTCAAATTTGCCCAAGGGCGCACAGCAGGGTGCCGGGCTCTATTTTACCTTTCCTCAAAGGGACTGCGGAGTCCTTGCCTCCACGGGCTTTTGATAGCATTTGTTGAAGGGATGAAGTAACAAGAAACACTGACTGTGTGTAAGTGATCCGCCGTAACAGGCCATCCTGGAGGCCCAGCCACCTCTGGCCGTGGACTCCGCAAGTAGTCTCGGGTCCAAAGTACACCCGCTCCTCTCGGTACCCCTCCCTCAGGCTCCACCCCCCGACTCCGCTGGGCGTGACCGCCACGCCTCCACCTCGGAGAGTTGGATCTCTCTTCCTATCTGAGTTTTCTCTTGGCTCCAGCCACTGCGGAAGGGCCTCTCGGCCCTGGCGATCTGGGGTTTGTTCCACTCCCCTGCCCCTCCCCTCGCCCTCCCTCACTCTTCAAACTTCTTTTTTCACCCTCTCTAAACTTCAGTCATCCTAGTGCCCGCCTCCCCCACTCCAGCCAGCCAATCGGTGGCTCGCATTCTCGGCGAGGGATCCGCCCCCCTGCCCGCCGGGGGGCCAATACCCCCGCGCCGGTGTCGAGGGCTGGGGCTTGTTCCCAAGCGCCGGGCCTGTGACGGCAGCGCGCCGGGCGCCGCGCGGTGGGAGTGGGCGGGGCTCTGGGTGAGGGGCGGGCTAGGGCGGGGGAAGGGACGAGGGAGGTGGAGGTTGCGGCGGGTTTGAAAGCGGCAGTTTCCTGGCAGCTTGGGCAGGCGTTGGTCTCTGAGCTCCAGCTCCACGGCAGCGGCCGGGATCGATCCAGCGAGGGGTGTACGCGTGATTCTGCGCGCCCCCACGGGTTTTTCCCGTCCGGGCTCTTCCCCCTTGACCTCCCCGCCCCCCGGCCTCAGCCTTTCCCGCCGCTGGGCGCGGAGCCCGGGGGCCAGCGGTCGCCTGTGACCCCGCCTGAAACCCCTCCGGAGCCGCCTGGGGACAATTCCCTTCTCCTTTCTGCAGTCTAACCTGGGCTAGCCCTCCCGGATCCCGGCCGACCCCGAGGAGCAGCGCAGCCGCGAGGGTGCCTGAGGGGCGTCTTGGGGCTTGGAGTGGCCCGGCCCCCAGCGGGCTGTGGTCGAGGGGGCGCGGGCGCGGCGAGGCCCCCCCCCTCGCCGGGCTGCGTGGGCCGCCCGGGCCCCCGCTGCCCGCGCGGGGTCTCCTCCATGGTGCAGCGGGGTTCGGGATGTCGAAGACACTGAAGAAGAAGAAGCACTGGCTCAGCAAGGTGCAGGAGTGCACGGTGTCCTGGGCCGGGCCCCCGGGCGACTTGGGCGTGGAGATCCGGGGCGGCGCGGAGCGCGGCGAGTTCCCCTACCTGGGGCGGCTTCGCGAGGAGCCCGGCGGCGGGGGCACCTGCTGCGTCGTCTCGGGCAAAGCGCCCGGCGCCGGCGATGTGCTGCTGGAGGTGAACGGGACTCCTGTCAGCGGGCTCACCCACCGGGACACCCTGGCTGTCATCCGCCACTTCCGCGAGCCCATCCGCCTCAAGACCGTGAAGCCCGGTACGCGGGCTCTGCCTCTCCGGCGGGAGGTTGCGGGGAGGTCCGGGTGGGCGTCCGGGGAGCGGCGGCCCCTCCCCGGGGCTTATCGGCCGGGGTCGTCTTAGACCTCGAGGGTGTGCCGGACTCCCTGGCGGCGGCGGCGGGAGGGCGGCAGCCGTGATCCCGTTTTTGCCGCCGGGGACGCTGAGCGCCGGGCTGCTCCGCGAGCAGTCACCGAACGGCGACCTGGAGCCGGGTTGCGCACCTTCGTAGCTCCGTCTCCCGCCGCGGAGTTTGTGACCCGGGAGGGAAGCGGCCCTTCCCCGCCCTCCTTGGTGGGAAAGGTCCTCGCGGCCGTAGCGCTGCCTTTGGAGCCGTCTCGCGCGTCTGCGACCGGGGAGGAAGGTCTCGGCGACCGAGGCACTTGGTGCCGGGGTTACCGGCGGCGCCTGGGGCTGGCAGCCTCACTCTGCCCGGGTGGCTCGGGTGTCTGGGCACCGAGGGTGGACGGTACGTGGTCTGTGACCCGGTGGCGTGCGGCTGCCGGGAGCTGTCGACTAGTCTGGGCTTCGAAGGAAGAAGACCTAGGTGCCTCGCTGAGGAAAAAAAAATATCTTTTGAAAATCTTTGATTTTACAGAATTTTGTTGAAGCGGTCGGTAGAAAGGTCCCCCCCACCGCCCTGGTATCATCTGTGCTAGTAAAATCGGCGCAAAACACGTTACGTAGATGACATTCCTGTCAGCTCCAGAGCGTGGGCCGGCCCGGGAGCCATGGAGTCCGGTCGCGTGTAATAGCCCTTCCGTGCTGGGAGCCGGCGGCAGAGCGGGTCGCTCCAGCCCCGCTGGAAGGTGGTCCCGTGCTCTGAGGAAGGTAATCGGGGAGCGGACTGTGCTGGCTGCGTGCGCCCTACCGAGTATACTGTGCATCAAAATACAATTGGCTGCCTAATTGTGGTTGGGGCTGGGAAAATCAGTCCACCCCTTCGCTGCAACGTGCTGGAAAATTCTGGAGAAAAAATTTAACGTCTCTTCCTCCCCTCCCCCGCCTCGCTCAGCTGCTGCCTTGGAAATGCCTCTTTAATCGTCCCTGGACTTTATCTATCGCAGCTGAGGGTTTGCGATGCCGTGTAGATACTGTGTGTGTTGGGGGGGGGCGGGGGGGGCGCGGTCTCAGCACAGACTCACTCCCACGTCCCTGCAATCTCAAAGGGAGATTTTCTTCCTGTGGTCTACTCCGTCGCATTCATGTTAAGTTCACTGGTTTTTGTGAGGTTTTCTTTTTTTGTGTGTGGTTAATTTTAAAAACTTTGGCAGACTTAAACGTCTTTTTCTGCATAGTTCTGTGAATCCAAAAATTCTTCCTAAACTCAAACTTTTAGAGCCATGTGTGGAGGGTGGAGGAAAGGCTCCGGGACCAGAAAGCAGTCAGTTCTGTCTGTGACGTGCGAAGTACGGTATATCCAGCACTTACTGGGCTGGGTGCCGTTTAGTTCAGATCCTAGGAGTCGGGATAATGAGAACATGGACATCATTGCTTTGTATTTTGTTTAGATTAGTTGGGGCATAGACGAGAATATAACTTTCCAAAATAGTTTAAAATTGATTAAGGAGGAAGTTCATAGACTGGGGAGACATATCTTTAATTAATATTAGTAACCTTTATACCAAATTTAAAAAAAATTTCCAGTTTTGAGTGTATTTAGTAATAGTAATTGTATTGAGAAAACACTGATGTCTTATTTTAAATGTTTAGCCAAAATAAAGGGAATAATTTATGTTAATTAGTATAGCACATTTTATAATCAACAGTAAAAAAAAACAAATACTACATCCACTTAAAAGAAACTTTTTTTAATCCTCACCCTAGGATATGTTTATTGATTTTAGGGAGGGAGGGGAGAGGGAGGGAAAAATCTATGTGAGAGAGACACATTGATCCATTGGCCGTATGGGGGCGCCGTGACTGGGGATGGAACCTGCGACCTTAAGGTATGTGCCCTGACCAGGAATCAAAGACGCAAAGTGTCCTGGAGGCCACTCCAGTCAATTGAGCCATCCAGCCAGGGCATTATACCTACTTTGCAGAGATACACTCTGCTTCGATAACTTCTAAAGGAGGCCACAATGTGTCATATGAGATTAATATTCTTGTTTCTAAGCAAGTTGTAATTAAAAACTTTTAATCTCTTAAAACTAGTATTCTTAATTTCTTAGTAGCCTCATGTTAGGCATTATGTTAAATGGCTTTCTTAAATGCCTTTGCTTAAACATTTGTTATAAAATAGCAAGATTTTTGCAGGTTAAGGACATGACCTTAAGTATTAGAAATTAAGGACTTTGAGAAGATATTCTTAGAACTTTGAGTGTGATTAAAAACCACATGAATTTTGTCTCCAGAGAAGACAAAGATTCTTTACTGTTGGGATTCCGTCTGAAAAGCAGGAAAGTACAGAGTAAAGGTATTTAGAAAGAAACTTGCCCTGCCTGTTGTTTTTTTTCCCTTTTATTTAAACTTTGGGAGAGAAATGGATATTTCAATAGATAAGGTATTGAAAAGTGTACTTGGCACTCTGTGTTGTTTTGGTCAATGACTCTTTATTAAACTATATTCATAACATGTCATTTAGAAACCAGAACAATGCAAGAGTAAATTTAACTATTGTTATAAGATGTAGTAATAGTGGGGAATGATCTCATTGTCTTCTGCAAAGTCCATGCAGGAAAGGTGTGCTGGGCTGTGGGGTGCTCTGGTCTGTGGGGTATGCAAGGCTGTGGGGTGCTCTGGACTGTGGGGTGCTCTGGTCTGTGGGGTATGCAAGGCTGTGGGGTGCACTGGGCTGTGGGGTGCGCCGGGCTGTGGAGTGCTCTAGACTGTGTGTTGCGCAGGTCTGTGGGGTGCTCTGGGCTGTGGGGTGCATGGAGCTGTGGGGTAGGACTCTTCCACTTTGTCCTTTTCATAGGGGATGGAAGGGGAGCCCAGCCAAAGCCAGCACTATCACCCAGATGATTTAATGAAGGTTTTTTTCTGGCAGTGACTTGTCTTTAGCTTTGATATAGGGTTTTATTTTATTTTTTCTTTCTTTCGTTATAATCTGTAATGGCGATTTGAAAGTAACTCTTTAAGATATGGTTCCTAGTTTGAGGCTTTTCCTGAGAGAATTAGGGCATTTCCTATTGAATTCTTATTTAGTATTAACATAGGACTTAGCACCAGTACTTTCCTGCTCCTAGGAGAATCTTCAGTTCCACGGATGCTTGATCCAACTACTGACCTGTTTCTTAATTACAACCCTGCTGTTCATTTTTCTGCAAAGAGAAAAGTTTTCCCTTGAACTTTGTATTTACCTAATAGTAAAGGAAGTTGAACTTTGGACCACTGGTGAAATTGTTTCATCACATAGTGCTATGACCAGAATTAGTTTCTTTGATTTTACTTTAGAGTATATTTTTAAAACAATTTCTACCCCTTTCTTCTCTTTTGGGTCTCTTTGTCGCTGTTGTTTTTGTTCAGTAGGTACCTTGGGACTTGCGGTGAGTTTTGTTTAGATGGTGGTAGTATCTGAAAAGGGAAGGGTGAGAGAAACGAGTGAATTGCTAGCCTCCCAGGTTTGCAATGTGAAAGTTTTCTCACCCATGTTTAAGGAAAAGAAACTGCAGATCGGGTGAGGCAGCCCTTGCTAGGAAAAATAGCATCAAACTTTCATAAACCTTAAATTTGAAACTTCCCTTCCTTCTCCACTTTTGGTAACATTTTTGGGAGGTCTGAAGTTGCTCTTGGTAACTCAGGGTTCCAGTTCTGGACTCCACTCACTGACACGTGCACTTCACGAGTGCTGAGTGTCTACCGTAGAGGCAGGACAGACACTTACATTTGGCCCTTTCCATTTGCACACCATTTTTACTTTATTCAGTTTAATGCTAAAGCTGATTTTTTGGGGCACATTCTGTGTTCCTTGGGAAATATATATTGTTTTTCCTCTGAGATCCTAGGATGTACTTTATAAAACCTAGTGTTACAAGAGACAGATTTCAGTGATTTCTTCCCTCACCCCTTCCCGCCCCCAACCCTGGTCCCCAATTTATGTAAATTGATGGTAAAACAAATCTACAATCTTTCAAGTCTCTGACTTATGAAGTCAGTGTGCAATCTCAGATGAATAGTTTCATATAATGGCTTAACTTGATAAGGCGCAGGTGTTTTGTAAATTTGGTGGGTACCTCGTGTTTTGAGAGTGTGTGGCAGGAGAATTTCACACATGTGAGCCATGTCCATATCACCTGTCAATTTTTTATTGTGATTTGACAGAGGCGAAGTATTTTGGTATTGAAGACTTAGAACTGTGTCTCCTTTAATTAATTATTTTTGTTTCTCTTCTATAATTTTGAGAAACAATGTCCTTGCAGTACTACATTCTGATAGAGAATGCATATCCTCAGTTAAAACTGTTCCCGAGGACAAGACCCTTGGGAGCTTGGAGGCTGGTGTTGTGAGGGACTTGGTCGAGGAAAAGGGGCAGATTCACTGCTCTCCTTCTCCCTGAACAAATATTATTCAGAATGTTCCCCCCTCCCAAAAAGTGCTTATTTTGCTTTAAAAAGAGAGCATAGAAAGTTATATTATTACTGGCACACTGCCATTTCCTCCTCATTTAGTGGCATGCTCACCATGTGAGCCAGCACTGGTGATATAAAAATATAAAATATAAAAATGAGTCAGAAATCGTCTCTGTCTTCAAGAAGCTCACAAGTTAGCAGGAGCTTAGTGATTCATTGGTGTGGAATACCTGTAGTAAGGGTTTTGTCTGCCTCACTTTCTCCCAGTTCTTAAGGTTAAAACTCTGGAGGCAAGTTTTCGTATGAATTTCGGTGGAAGCTGGGCTACTTAGTTTGTTGCCTAGTATGCTGCCCTGAAGATGGTGTGGCATTCCATCATTGGGCTTGGGTTCTCGAGTCATTACAAAAAGAGGGAAATTGAGTATAAACAAAATTATCTTTTGAAAAGCCCTTCAATTTAAATTAC